TGCCCATAGTTAGGAAACACCGTCCTTGCCCACTCTACCTTCTTTTGCCATTCGGGCGAAGGCGTGGCGACATTGCTTCTGGCATGCGATCGCAGGGTTTGGGCGGCAGTCCGTCTCTCTGCGTATGTGAACTTCTTTACACCAGCGGGTGACCCGATCGACTTTGCTGCGCCTACCGCTGGTTTTGGCGCAGATGCGCACATAGCGACATCCCTAGTTTGGGATGGGGCCTTTTCTGAGCCCTACTGGTGCTTGCAGTGGAACCATCGTTTATCTTTGCAGCGCCGGGTTTTTGTAGAGTTCCCGTGTCCGTTTTCTTATTTGTATTTTTATTTATTGTTTCCATAATTGGTCCCACGAGCTGCGGAGAAGGGGAAAGGTCCGCCCGGGCAGAGATCCGCGGTACCCGGGTAAGGCGGTAGATAGAACAGGGGATCGCCATCTCCCTGAGCCCACCTTTTGAGACTGAGCTAGTTGTTGATCTGGGCCCCCAGCCAGGCTGACTCTTGGCACGGTCCGAATTACACCGTAGTCCGGCCCGGAGTGAGATGTTGTTTGGGAGAGGAAGTGGGTGGGTGGTGTGTGGGGGATATTGGGTTTGTGTAAAGCAACTGTTTAGATGCGGCTGAACAAATCGCATCGTCGGTACTGCCTCGTTGCAAGATACCCGCTGGTTGTCCGGGACTGCTTATTTGCTGGGGTTTCCGTCCACGATTCCGTGTTTGACTTCCACCGCCAGCTTATTCGCAGTTGGCCTCGAGTGAGGTCGTCCGCTATCCGCAACCTGCGACCCGCTCGGTCGCCCCAGATAGGCGGCTTCGGAACCATCTCACAAGTTCCTCAGACCGAGTCACCGACAGTAATGCCCTTAAGAAGTCGATGGAGAAGAGAGAACTGATAAACCGGATCGCAAGATGATGGTTGCGTGTTCAGGAATTCGACATAGACATCGTTCATCGAGCAGGAACACATATGAACCACGTAGACGCACTCAGTCGAGCTCCATTCGAAGATGCTCGAGAGATGGTACTGCATGCCTGAAGATAGCAAAGACAATAATTGACGAAGAGGATTGGCTATTTTTTGGGCTGTGCGTTTTATAAAACACCAGGTGGACGTCAGGAAGGTCAATACCACTATCATGAAATCAAGCCGATCCCATTTTCCACGATATGGACCACCTGGGACCATTTCCAAAGAGTTCCAAGAGAAACGAGCATTTTCTCGTGATAGTGGACGCATTCACCAAATTCGTACGAGCGGTGAAAAGTACAGCAACCAAAAATGTCCTGGATGTCCTGCAAGATGAAACCAGCTACCCTGGAATGCCAGATCGCATTGTCACCAATCGTGGAACAGCTTTTATATCCAAAGACTTTGAGAAGTACTGCAAATCGAACAATGTAAAACATATCTTAAATGCTGTAAGCACACCCAGAGCCAATGGTCACGCAGAGCAAGTTACAATTTCCAATGTAATAATATATTCAACCTAATAATCCCAAATAAACCTATACCACTCGTAAAGCTACCCTTCTCACTTGTTACCTGTTTTGAAAAGAGGAATAACAAAAGATTCCTTCTAAATATTTGGGAATTGGGAAGATTCTAGCGATAAGGTAAACAACTTGTGAAAAGGTTTGCACAGGGCCTTAGCGCAATACCTAAGCACGCACCCAGGAATACCATCGGGCCCTGGCGAATAAACAGGCTTAATACGATGAAGATCCAAAAGAAGAGAACTTTCTGTTAAAGTGGGTCAGAATATTAGATATGATGTAGGAATAAAACTGTGATGAATAATCTAAAGTAGAGTATGTCGTTTGAAAAAATTGGGCAAATAAATCGGCTATTGCCTGATGATTTAAGAATTAGATTGTGATGAATAATCTAAAGTAGAGTATGACGTTTGAAAAAATTGGGCAAATAAATCGGCTATTGCCTGATCTGCTAGCGTAAAAACTTTAATCTTTCCAGTGTGACCAAAATTTCGAGAGTTCATCAGAATAAAGCGTGCTACGGTCGTACTGTCAATCAGCTTGGTTTTTTGAGAAGCAGTTAAAATTCAAATATCGTATTTGGGGGAAAGAGCCTTTAAAAGATATTATCAACTGCCTTGACAAATCAAGACTGCCGCTGTACAAAGACATGAAAAAACAATACAATTTAAATTTAACAGTTTTTTTTTAATTTTCTGATAGCTATTTCCTAATTTAAGGTTCATAGCTGTACTTCTATTGTTGTTTTTTCGTACATTTTTGACCTAAGAAACATTTTGCTCTCACAAGAGACACCCCAGATGTTATTTTGACCTTACATGAAAACTCCTGCAATCGACTTTTGCGGGTTTTTTGATTTTTTTCCCTCCTGAATTTTTTAATCTTTTTGCTAGGGTTCACCCAAAATTCATTTCCGCAGTCTGGCAACGCTATGCAATTTTCTGGTATTTATTTCGTCGATCTGAAGACCGAGGTGAAAAAAACGTTGACGAGAAGTGAACGCCAGCTGTTTGCCTCTCGCTCTCTCTCATGACTGGCGGTCAGTTTTCGTCGATCTGAGTACTAGGCTTATTATTTTTCATTTTATAATAATTAGTATATCGAATTTTTAGGCTAAAATCACGTTTGAAGCCTAGTATCCAGATCGACAAACGATTACGCTAGCGTAAAAACTTTAATCTTTCCAGTGTGACCAAAAGTTTGAGAGTTCATCAGATTTAAGCGTGCTACGGTCGTACTGTCAATCAGCTGGGCTTGTTGACAAGCAGTTAAAATTCAAATTTGCGGGAAAGAGCCTTTAAAAGATATTATCAAATACCTTGGCAAGACAAGTCTGCCGCTGTACAAAGAAATTAAAAAACAATACAATTTAAATTTAACAGTTGTTTTTTTTAATTTACTGATAATTATTTGCTAATTTAAAGTTCATAGCTGCACTTTTTTGGTGTTTTTTCGTACATTCTGGACCTAAAAAACATTTTGCTCTGACAAGAGGCACCCCAGATAGTATTAATGTTATTTTGTCCTCACATGTAAACACCTGCAATCGACTTTTGTGAGTTTTTTGAGTTTTTCCCTCCATTTCTTATAATGTTCAGTGAGAAGCGCACGCCAAAAGATAAAATTTTTTAATCTTTTCGCTAGGGTTCACCCAAAGTTTATTTCCGCAGTCTGGCAACGCTATGGAATTTTCTGGTATTTTTTTCGTCGATCAGGAGACCGACGTGAAAAAAAGGCCCGACGAAAAGTGAACGTCAGCTGTTTGCCTCTCGCTCTCTCTCATGACTGGCGTACGGTTCTCGTCGATCTGGATACTAGGCTTGACTTCAAAGTGTTACCAAAAATCGAAAAATCGCAACGTGTGAAAAAATTCATGAAAATAGGCCTTTTTTTGGACGAATTAACCATACCCTTAAGTGTACCAACTTTTTGCTAAACCAAGGTGATTTATTGGAAATTGACGGATATTACCACGGAACACAGATATTAAAAACTGAGTGTATTGCAGTGTAAAAAACATTAACTGCATCGGACATATTATTGCATAAGTAAAGATCAGACCAATTAAAGCCAGATAAAAATTATTAAGCCTCAGAAAGTCTGCCTTGCGAAAACAATGTATTAGTTTGGTTGATTTTTCAGATTTTTCTTTTATAACTCTACCCGTGTCAGTTCGATTGAAGGATAAAATCATGCTGTAGTAAGAGATTCGATCCATCCTCAGTGGACCAAGTAACTCCAGGTATATTAAAATCACATAGAGCTTATTTGCAAAAGACTTAATAACGGAAAGGTGATTTAAATAATCAGGAAGTTCAGGAACGGTGGAATATATGAGCAAGTTATGTATATAGAGTTACCAGGAAGCGATAACTTTTCACAAATAAATTCAATGGTATTGAATTCCGCAAAAAATAACTCCTCTGACGGGAAGTTTGAATCAACTCCAATTATTGTGTACTTACCTGGAAAAACTTCGGAGCTAAAGATCTTCGGCCTAAACAGGTTTCTAAAAACACAATAATATGAGATGCAAAGAAAAGGCTATCAGAATACAATTTAGTGAGTTTACTACCCAAGCCTCTTGCATTCTGATAGGAAAGTAGGAGGTTAGAAGTTAGTTTTTTGAATTTGGTACACTGGTTTGGCCTTTATTGAATTAAAATGGTCTCACCTAGAATTAACATTTGTTAGATAAGTCTTGATTCAAGGATTTATTGGCGTTAGCATAGATTTAGGATCTTTACTGATCCTGAGTGATTTTTCAAGTGACACCTCATGGAGAAGTATTTTAACTGTTCAATCGAACATACAATCGACTCCCGTGGTGAATATTTGCAGCTGCAACTTTTATTGGTAAAGTCTGTTGCGAGACATCTAGTTATCTGGAGGGAAATCAGATTAGGTATCAAAAATGGCTCTTAGAAGAGCTTTGGGAGAGATACAAGTAGAACCGCAGTCATCTCTTTGATTCCAGACTAGTAATAAGATTTTTTTTTAGTTTTATCCACAATTTTAAGGCATTAAATAAATTAAAAGAAGGTAAAAGATATTTGGATGAGTAATTTTCAATTTGGTTATGCTAGTGACCATTGGATGTGCAAGGTATGTCCAGCTCATCTGCTAAACAGTTGCTACAATACGGTGGAAAACACGGCAATGATCAACTCTAAAACTGGTTCAAATGTAAGACATGTAAATTAAGGATAATCCAACATATCAATGGTTAATTGTTCTCTGTGGGATACGTGTTCTAGGAAATTTGAAAATTGGCATTGTGTACGTCAAGGATTTAAACCTAGCTGTTTGAAATAGCCCAGATAGAGGGTGGACTAACTATTCATGTTCAGTACAACGACAACTTCTGACTTATTACACTGATAAATAATGGATGTACCTCTGTGGAAATGGGATATATCAATAAAATTATTAGAACAGCAAATTATTGTTTGTGGAAATAAGGTATAACTATTGTCACAATTGAATTTTAATCGATTTTAATCGAAAAGGGTTTTATGAGTCTAATTTTGTGAGTCACACGTTGCATTCTTTAAACGTATTACCACAAGTTGCCAACGATGACATATAACCATGACGGAATGCCAGACCAACAATTTCTTTGGGATGTGTTTCAAAGGCAAGGCCTTATTTAAAATTTGGACAAGGAATAATTGAAGATAATTTCAGAGTCGATAAAGACAGGAGTGGTCATATCTCTGCTGATGAGCTACAAGTGGCCCTTTCAAATGGTACATGGTCTGCGTTTAATCCCGAAACTATCCGTTTAATGATTGGAATGTTTGATCGAGATAATAGAGGGACCGTATCTTTTCAAGACTTTGGAGCATTGTGGAAATATGTGACGGATTGGCAAAATTGTTTTCGATCATTCGATCGTGACAATTCAGGGAACATAGACAAAGCTGAACTGAAAACAGCACTGACATCATTTGGTTATCGTTTATCCGACCACCTAATTGAAGTACTGCTTAGAAAATTTGATCGCTTTGGACGTGGGACAATTCTTTTTGATGATTTTATTCAATGTTGTATTGTCCTTTATGTAAGTATAAAAATTAACATATACCATACTCTTCAGAATATTTATGGGGTAGCACAGAAATGAAAAGTATAAGCCAATTTTCAATGTCATTATTTTCTAGATCGTTCACCATTTATTGGGTCAAATTTTTGATTTGTCTGTTATTTTTGTTTTGGTACTCTTTGGCAAATTAGTATTTATTATTATGCAAAGTTTTGAAAAACGACAATACCTACTGAAGTAAATTTTATATCTTCTGTTGTATCGATCCCATTGACTTTATTTCTTTTGCCCTTTCTCTGTAAACATACTTTATAAAAATTCAAAATTGCCTAATTTATTTAATTTTCGAACTTTAAAACCAAGCTAGGAGTTAAAAGAAATGTTTAAAAATTGTCCATATTATGAATTATTATTTTGTATTGCTAATATATGCGATAGTTATTACCTACAATAGTATTTTATAAGTTTTTGGAGGCTCTGCAATTTCAGTTAAAAGTTTGCAACTAATTGAAGGCCCTATAAAGTAAACAATCACTCAAATATGTCTGCGTTAAAATGTTTCGGCCATTTATTAATGTATTTAATTAAACAATGGTTATTTTTTATTTTAAATTTAAAACTTAACACTACGAAATACTGTATGCCAAAAAGTCTGCGTAGAGCTGTTTAAAGCTAAGTGGAATGTGCGATTACCGTCAGGACTTCTGCAGATTTTTTAAGCTGTAGGTATTGCGCAGTTCAGAAGAATTTCAATAGGAAAAAAAAAGTGAGGAGCGAAAAATTATTATTTTTGGACGGAAAATCATATAGGAATTTTGTGCTCTTGTTGGTAGAGCCTGAGCTGGTAGAGCATGATTTTAGTTTAACAAAAATCTGACGGCTTTTAAATGCAAATTAAATTTTTATTTTTAAAATTTTCAAATAATACTAGTTTCGACGATAGACACAATATATCACAATTGAGTTTTTATTTCATAAACAAGAGAGAACGCTATAGTCGGGTGCCCCGACTATCAGATACCCGTTACTCAGGTAAAGGGAGTGCGAGGGAGATGGAGATAGAAACTTTGATCACGCATAACTTTTTAACGAATGGTCCGATTTGAAAAATTTCTTCTACATTTCGATAGGTATTGATAAACACAATAAAACTGCATTTTTACTTTTCCGAAATATTTAAATTTTTATATAGTTTCCGAGATCTCAGCGTTCATACGGACAGACAGACGGACAGACAGACGGACAGACGGACATGGCTAGATCGACTCGGCTAGTGATCCTGAACAAGAATATATATACTTTATAGGGTCGGAAACGCTTCCTTCTACCTGTTACATACTTTTGCACGAATACAATATACCCTTTTACTCTACGAGTAACGGGTATAAAAAACAAGAAAGGGAGAAACTTCGGCTTGCCGATTTCTATACCTAGATTACTAAAAACAATGAAGCTATGTATATACATTTGTCGATTTTGGGCTGCATTTTGCCATCGTTTCGATTGCAGCTATATGATATTCTTGTCCGATTTTATCTCAAAGGAATATTTTGATGAAAAAAAAATCTTTTTTTTTTTTTAATTTTTTTGATTTTTCTATGGGACCTATATGATATAGATGTCTGATTTTAATTTAATAAAAACCGTAATTCCATAGTATTTAAATATTACCAAATCCCAAGGAACAACAAAAAAAATTCAAAGCAAGGAAGGAAAAACATTGGCAAGCCGAAGTTTATAACCCTTGCAGTTATTACAAAACGACTACATTTCGATTTATATGCCTATATTACTAAAAACAATGAAGCTATGTCTATTTTGCGCTGCATTTTGCCATCGTTTCTATTGCAGCTATATCATATTCTTGTCCGATTTTATCTAAAAGGAATATTTTGATAAATAGAAACACAGCAAAAATCTATTTATTTTTATTTTTTGATTTTCCTATGGGACCTATATGATATACACTACTGGCCAAAATAATAAGTACACCCGTGTACGGTTTCTTTAACTTCTCGCAAGACTGCTTTAATGATCATAAAGAAAAACTTAAATTTACTTATAGCTTTTTGATATATATTAGATTATAAAAATAGTTAACATAGGCATTTTTCAATTCATTTATAAAGTTTGTGGTTAATTATATCTAAAAAACATAAAAAGGGTTGGTCAAAATAATAAGTACACCAATTCTACAAACTCAAAAACTCAAAACTTAACAACAATTTTTCAACATTTCCTTGATTTCCTTAATCTATAGCTAGTATCCAGTATAGCCACCCTTATTTTGTACAACTTTGGCGATTCGTTTTGGCATACTAGCAATAAGCTTGCGACAAGTATCCACTGGAATGTCATACCAGGTTTTTGGACAAATGTCCACAATTCTTCGGCATTTCGAAAAGTATTTGTGCCGATACGACGTTTTAAGTGTTCCCCTAGGTTCTCAATCGGATTTTAGTCCGAGACTGGCTTGGCCAACTCATAAGATTTACTTGTTTTCGGTAAACCAAGCCTTGACCAGCTTTGAGGTGTGTTTTTGGTCGTTGTCTTGTTGAAAGACCCATCTCAAAGGCATTTTTTTCGGAATATGGTAGTATAACGTCAGCGAGTATACTTTTATACCCAAATCGAGTCATAATATCAGATATGCGATGTATCGGACCAACGCCATGCCAAGAAAATCAGCCCCAAACCATTATGCATCCGCCTCCGTGCTTAACGGTCTTCTTTGTGTACCGGGGACGAATTCTTTACTTTTTGGGCGTCGTACATAACGTCTAGGGTCGTTACCAAAAAGGTTTATTTTTGATTCGTCGCTCCATAACACATTGTTCCATTTTTTAAAACCTTTTGGTCCAGACCATGCCAAATGATTTTGTGCAAACTGGCGCCTCATCTGTAAATTTTTTTTCCGAAGTAAAGGAACTTTGGACTTGGAAAACATAAAGGGATCCTTTTTTGCCAGACTGACGATGCGGGTGTCCGTCGTTTGGGAAGATTTCTTCTTTCTTCCTCGTTTTTCGGTAGGATCTTTCAATTTTAAGGCATTCTAAACAAAACACACCGAGCGTCCAAGGCTTGTCGCAATTTCTCGTAGACTTTTTCCTTCTCGTTGAAGATTCAAGGCAATCTTCTTTTCTTCCAGGGTACAATGCTTTTTTCGGCCCATCTAAAAAATTTTTGTAACCTGAATATACTTAAAATGCAAGAAATCATTAAAAATCAACATACCGTAGTCAAATTTTAAACTTAATCCTTTCAAATTTGTGAATAATGGAAGTGTACTTATTATTTTGACCAGACCGAAAACGACCATCCAGAACAAATTTAGGCTTAGCACTGGATAAATGGGGTTCCCAATTTTCATTTTTGATTTAAATGTTTTACAACAATATAACCTTTCAAAATATAATCAACTAGCAGCCCTGCATTCGATAGCTTTCGAGCTATGTCCCAAGAAATGATACCTATACCTATGTACTTATTATTTTGGCCAGTAGTGTAGATGTCTGATTTTAATTTAATTAAAACCGCAATTCCATAATATTTAAATATTACCAAATCCCAAAGAACAAGTTAAAAAATTAAAAACAAGGAAGGAAGAAAACATTGGCAAGCCGAAGTTTATAACCCTTGCAGTTATTACAAAACGACTACATTTCGATTTATATGCCTATATTACTAAAAACAATGAAGTTATGTCTATTTTGCGATGCATTTTGCCATCGTGTCTGTGGCAGCTATATGATATTGTTGTCCGATTTTAATTTAATTAAAATAATATTTCCATAATATTTGAATTATTTTACCAAATCCCAAAGAACAAAAAAAAATTAAAAACAACAATGTTATAATTTTTGTCACTTTTTTCCGATTGTTCCTAAGGGAGTTATATGATATATATACTACCTGCAATAGAAAGACAACTTTTGGGAAAGCTTCAAGCAGATAGCTTTAAAACTGAGGGACTAGTTTGCGTAGAAACGGACGGACGGACGGACGGACGGACGGACGGACGGACGGATGCTGATCAGGAATATATATATTTTAAAGGGTCGGAAATGTCTCCTTCACTATGTTGCAAAATTTTGACTGAATACTACTCTCTGCAAGGGTATAAAAGTGTTTTAGTAAAACATAAATATAATATTTATATGGTCTTTATCATCTTTGATAACAACATAATAGGGATATGACACTTTATTCGTTGACAGTTTCAGGAGCTCACAAAGAGATTTCTATATATGAAGATAGATTTTTTTGGTAAAATTACCACTGTCAGACTTCAAGCGTTAATTAAACTCTCTAGTTAAAATAGGTTTTTACCGCTGATTTAAATCTTTAAAGCTTTCAATGTTTACCTTTAAATGCTTTTAACTTGTTTTATTCATTATTTAATGTAGTCGCTTTATATTTAATTTTGTACGTAATAACATACATTTTTTTTTCTTTGCAAAAAAATTTGAGAAAAACATTCGAGCCCATTGTCAGATTTTTCTGCCGGGTGTCGTCTGCGGAGGCGCCGTCGACCCAGTGATGTTGCAAGATGTCTTGCCAGACAGTTTGCATGGTTTCCCGGTATCGACTTGAGGATTTACAAATTGTCTCCGTTACCGTCGGTTTTTTAAATAATGGTGCCACTTCACCACCAGCATTCTCCTGCGAGGATGTAATGCACGTTTGCATCTTTTTTAATGATGAATCACAGGCCGTGCCCCAGCAAGTGATTCCCCAGTTTAAACATTCGAACACGAAAATGTTTTCTAATTATACGTTACATTTTATTTTTTAAAAGTTCCCCAAAACTGATAGTAGCTTGATGTTTTGGGCTAATTTTTCCACATTTTGAATGTGCGGATTTCAATTGTACATATTTCTATTGTAGTATATAAGCTACAAAAAAATTTCGGAATTTGGTTTTGCGGTCGAGTGACAAAGTCAAAAAATATTAATTAACTCGGTGAAAAATCTGACATTTTTTAAAAATTTGTATTGGCGATACGGATAGTCTCAGC